TATTCATTTGTCTCCCAGGTCTGTCACTGCTGGTGTCCGCCCTTTTCTGCTGGCGATGAACATTTCTATTCATTTGTCTCCCAGATCTGTCACTGCTGGTGTCCGCTGTGTCCGCCTTGTCTCCCTTCTGTTTCCTTTTGTTGCCCTTCTCGTTTCCCTTCTTGTTGGTCATTGTGTCAGTCTTGTTTGTCACTGTGTCCGCCTTGTCTTCCTTCTTGTCTCCCTTCTTGTTGGTCATGGTCTCCGCCTTGTCTGTCTTCTTGTCTCACTTTGTCTCCGGTCTTGTCTCCATTCTTTTTTTGTCACTGTGTCCGTCTTGTCTCCTTCTTGTCTCCCTTCTTGTGTGTCATTGTGTCCGCCTCGTTCCTTCTGTTTCCCTTTGTGTCCTTTCTTGTGGGTCACTGTGTCGGCCTTGTCTCCCTTCTGTTTCCTTTTGTCTCCCTTCTTGTTTTCGTTCTTGTCTCCCTTCTTGTTGGTCACTGTGTCCGCTTTGTCTCCCTTCTGTTTCCTTTTGTATCTCTTCTTGTTTCCCTTCTTGTTGGCCATTTTGTTCTGTCTTTTTTTGTCGCCCTTCTTGTCCCCCCGTTCTTGTTGGTCATTGTGGCCGCCTTGTCTCCCTTCTGTCCTTCTTTGTCTGCGGTCTTGTCTCCCTTCTTCCGTCTTGTCTCCCTTCTGTTTCCTTTTGTCTCCCTTCTTGTCTCCCTTCTTGTTGATGTCTCAAAAAGTGGACTTGGGAATGCTTCGTTGTTGTCTCACCTGTTTGGGGTCTACGGTGGTGTAAATTATTTGAATCAATTCAATGTTTTGGTGATAGTATGTTCAAAAATAGTGAAACAGGCATAGTTTTGCTGCTTCAAGAAGAAAGATTGTATTAAAGCAATCAAATCATACTTTACTAAATGTATGAGCATATACAGTATTTCAATATGTTTTGATGATATGGAATATTTGCGTGTCATTAGCTGAAGCAAGATCCGATGCGTTGTTCGGCCCGGCCAGGGCTCCCAAGTAATGACAAGCAGCATGAGGGAACCTGGCAGAACTGAGGCCCTCGAGGCATGGCAGGACTGTGCCGAAGGCCACGGCGGCTACGTGAGGAACTGAGAATTGCCGTTTGCAGTCTTTGATGTCATCCAGTTCTGCAGTTAGGCCCAAGGGGCTGCAATTGAATTAAGTCCTAGCAGCAAGCTGGTTTGTTTTGAGGTTCTGGCCGCTGGGAGCATCTCGCTTCAAAAGGTGGTTGCCAAGATCCCTTGTAGGCCGCGGTGCGTCACATGGCGGGCGGAAGGGGGGCCAATGCGTCAGTTCTGAACGCAAAGAGACGGACGGAAAGTAACCAGATGGTTTTTTTCCTTGTTGTGGCCAACGTTTTGGATGGAGCTCGATGTGCTTTAGATGGTAGCCAGCCTGTTTTTGTGCACCATGGAACAAATGTGGGTGATGGACAAGCTCATCTGTTGAGCCTTGTGGGTGAAAGCTCGATGCGCACAGGTCTGATCTTGATTCTGTCTCAGACTAGGACACTGTGTTTATGCTTAGGTCTCACAATCACAAGTCGGCAGTCGGTCCTTTGGGTATCAAAAAGGGAGAAGAACCTCAAGCCATGGGTCTCCAAACGATTCTTTCTCCATGAGTAACACATTCTTTCTCCTCTCTTGAATGCTTGCTGGAAGAGTTCTCCAAACCGACCCGGATCACTCCACACGACCGCAGTGAAGAGGCCGCAGTGTGCTACTGATCTGGGCCGCCTCTTTGCAGAGCCGCAAGGACCCGCTACGGGAAACCCGTTTCCCCCGTCAAGCCTGCAGTGTTCTGTGACTGTGACCACCCCGTCTGTGTGAACGGGAACGTGGGTCAACTGCCAAAGCTGTGCAGCAACCAGCTGTTGCTTTCAAGTAGCCTGACGAAGCCTTGGAATTTTGAGAGGATGGTCGTTCAACGGTACCAGCTGGGTTTGGTCAGTCCTATGCGGGGGGGTTCCTCCAAACTCAACAATTCTCCAGCATTTGCAACGGTTGCGCACACATCCAAGCGGCGTTTCTGCGCCTAAACTGCATGCTTGGAGGGCCCCAATAGCTTCCAATGATGCAGGACGACATGCAGGCAACATGCAGCACTTCTTCAATGCTATCGACTCGTTTGTGTGTCTTTTCACTGGTTTTTTGGGGTTCTGACGCTGGACAAACTGTGTTGTGGAACTCGTTGTGGAACCCGAATCCGGGCGCCTCCCGTTTTCCCAAACCTTGGTTTTGGCACCTCAAGTCCTAGGCAAAACTTTTTGTCCCACCAAGCTTGGGACTTCTTCATTTGAGGCGAACGGAACTCTCCGATCTTTCGTAGACCTAAATAAATGGCCGCAACGGCTGGGCCAAGACGTGTCCTTGGGCACACATGGTTGGAGCTGACAGGAATTCCCCGTTAAACCGATGACGGGCAGCTGTGGCCCAGGGGAGATGGCCATCTTTCTGCAGATGCTCCGGCCGCATGAAGACCAGGCTCCGTGTCCTGTGACAGCGAACACCGGAGCGGAACGATGGCGGAAGCGACGGAGGAAGCGTCTGTGATGGGAAGACGACGTCCGTGTTGAGGTTTTGGGGCTCGAGCCGGGTGGCTGTGGTGGGAAGGAAGATGGGGCGAGAGAGCGTGCCAGGTGCATTTTCTTTACTTCTGGAAGGCCTTCGGCGAAGCGGCACGTACTGCAGGTGGAACTGATGAAACGAGACTTGAGAGTGACTTAGCTGTGGGTCAAAACCGCGGGCACCACAGAAAATCCAACAGAAACGGACTACGAGACATGGTCAACCCAAGGTTTAGGTTCCAGGTTTTGACCCCAGGTTTTGACCCCTCAGCCACTTGTCAGTCGCTGTGTCTCCGCGACTTGGAGACTCTCTCAGGTGCTGTTTCGATTGAGGCCGAGAACTTGTGTTCAGAGCTCGAGATGCTTCGGGCCACGCCGGCTCAGTCAGTTGCTGTTTCGACAGAGTGACCGGGGGGGTTTGACTGGGTGGTTGACTGGATGACTGGGTGGTTCAAGTGAAAAAGAAGACCAATGAAACTGGTCCGTCGGTTCGTTGGTTCATTCAGACTGATGTGAGCTCTGAACAGAAGTACTTTTTTTTGTTCTTTAAAACTTATTTTTGCTCTGTTGCAAGAAGCACCAAAGCAATGTATACATGTATACGCGCACTAATTACTAACTAAAATACATGCATACATCACATACATCTCTTAGTTTATCTTAGTGTATGTATACAATCTAGGACATGATAGGCCCAGGCATTGATCCAAAACGCTCAGAACCAAGCCGGGCCGAGCCTTGGTTTGCCATGGCCGAGCCCCAGAGAGCCAAAATCCGCGTCACGGGCGTGGTGAAGCGTCCGGCCACCAGCACTCCCGGCGGAGAATCCCAGGCCGCGGTCCGGGTTGCGGAGAGTAGGGGTTTGGGCGGAACTTCGTGCTGTTGTTGTTGTTGTTGTTGCTCTCCACCGTCTTAACATCTCTTAACTTAATAGTCACTCTATAGTCTCAACTGATAGTTTGGTTGACAATGAACATAATCCTTTTCCCGGGAGCGCAAAGGTTTCCTCTATAGGAAGGGTTGGCATTATTACACTTGCCCCTCTGTGTACTACAAAGTTGCCAGTGCATAACACGGCGTGTCGCTAGCTGTTTCCACGAGGCTTGGTGTTCTATGGTTGTATCTAGTCTGTGGCACACTGTGGGGGCGAAATAACGTCCGTGATACTGCTGTGCCGTACGGCTTTGTGCGGCTCGGTGGAAAGTGTGTTTGCGTGGCTCCGTGCCATTAGGGAACGGGAAGCATACGTGCGTAAACGCGGAGAGTCGCTGGTGAGCGGGATAAGTGGTGGTTCTCCAGAAGAGTGCCCTACAAGAGTGTCCCACAAGAATGCCTTGAGCCCTACAGTGTCCTTATCCTCACAGCTGTCTTACAAATGTCAAGCAAGAGTTTCTTATAAAGAGTGTCACGCAAGAGTGTCCAGAGTGGCCCTACAGATGTGTCATAGAAGTTGTAAAGGTTTGGCCTGGTCTTACAAAGCAGTCAGCAATGTGACAAGCCAAAAAAGATGCATGATCCACACACGTTGATACAAAAAGGAGACACATACTGAGCATGTGTCCTAGACGTGCTCTTGGGCCACTCAATAGTCTAGTCTAGTCTAGGACTTCGGGCGAACTCGCAGTGGTGCCCAAACAGTTGTGGAGATACATCCAAGGAGTCTTCTTGAGTGGAGGAGAGAGCGGTAGAGGGTCACTGAGCAGATCGTGTCAGAATTTCCCACACACGATTATTACTGCAGAAGAATTGGGTTCAAAGAAAGAACAGTTGGCAGAGTGCCAAAACATGGGCGGACCGGGCCAAAGATTGGTACCACGTGCATGACTACTTGTGGGCGATGGCAGTCTTTGGAGGGTCAGTCCGTCCACATCTTCCGACAAGGCTTGGGCTTCTGCTCATCGTGGAAGTACTGCATCGGTCACTGCAGTGGCATCTGCGGTCGAGAACTTACGAAGCAAACATCGGTGGTGTCAGGTGGGGTGCAAGCAAACACCTGCAAAGCCTCGTTGACTCCCTTTCAAGGGAGGTCCATTTGCGAATTCTTGGGGTTCATATCCTGACAGACTCATATGCCATATATTTTTCAGGATTGTAGGATTGTGAGGTGCCATGACCTTCAGTGGTTTTAGCCAAGGCTCGTGTGGTGAACCCCAGTGTCCAAGCGAAGGCGGGCCCGTCAAGGTATGACAGCGATGCAAGGATCCACGGTTGGATCCACATCCAGGGTGATGTGATGATGTCTGATTTTCGAAGGTTGTCAGGTATTTCCGAAGCAGTTCATTCAACCGATGCAAAGGTTTGGTTCAGCTGAGCGCTCCGCAAGAAGAGGACTTGCACGGTTTTTCCCCCAAATCATGCTAGGCTGAACTCAACTTGGCAGGTCTTGACTGGGAGCTCCAACAACTCCAGTAGCACGTCGGTGGCGACTCGCGAGCCTTCGTGAGCGCCTCAAGTTGTTCATGCTCCACGAGACGAAAACAGATGAGTCCCTAACCGTTTCCAAACACTCACAACGATTGGTTGGGGTGGTTTCCGTACAAACACTCCCTACCTGTGCTCTTTGCTTCAGATTTTCTATATATTCCATTCCGTACGTTCGTGGTTCTGGGGGTCCATGTAGGCATATATGGCAGTCCCAGACTACTCGTGTCTGAGGTGTCTGGTGAGATGTGTTTAGCTGTCGAAACGGGATGAGACGCATATGTGTACTAGGAGTCACATGTCGGGGTGCCATCCATGGAGGATAGGGGTGCCCAGAACATCCACTCACTGGATGGGACGAAAAAGCATCCTTTTGTGACTCTTGGTAAACCATCCTTTTTTTTGATCATTTGCATGGCAAGTGGTTGGGGACCAGAGAGTTCCATCCAGACTTGTTTCTGGGCAACCCAGCACACCTGATTGTCACAGCTTGTTCGGCGATTGGACGGTGGCAAACATGCCTCTCTATTTTTTAAACCCCGGAAGGTGAGCAGAACCTGTAGAGGAACAAGAAGGGCCCTACTTCACTTTACTCCACTTCCATGCTTGAGGGAGGGTGCTAAACCAAGGTATCACAATGTGCTCCGCAGGATGGTGGACTTCGAACCTACTTATAATGTTATTTTGTCACGTAATTTGTCAGATGAACAAAGTACCTCTCTAGAGTAGCAAACCTGATGCATAGCCATCTCCAAGTAATACTGGATTGAGTCTTGCCTTCTTGGGACTGAACTACAGCGCCTCGGGAGTTCTCACCCCTTTCTTCTGATCCCTTTTTTCCATCTTGGTCAGACACCCTGCCGGGCCACGCGGACCGGTGGGCTGAGGCCGGCCCCAGAAAGAACGTCCCTGGAAGCTAGAAAAAGGCGGGGAAGGATAATCCTTGCAGGTCGAAAGCGGGATTCTTTCTCCAACAGCGAAGCTTTAGGGGTCTTCAGCCATATAGCATAGACTTCGGAGCAAGCTCCGGAGCAGGTTCCGGAGCAGGTTCCGGAGAAAGTTCCGGAGCAGGTTCGCGAGCAGGTTCTGGAGGAGGCTTCTGGAGACTGGGACCAGCTTGCCACAAGTTCCGGAGCACCTTGCAGATATATGACGGCGTATAATTAGTGCTGACGCGTCACGGTGCAGGTCTTTTGTCATGCTTGCCGACATGTTGACGTGCCATCAGACTATATACCGCGCGGCTTTTGCGAATTTGCTATCTCGCTATTATCTCTGACACGCTGAGGTGTTGCCACTCCGACAAGCTGATTGCACGGTGCCATGTTGGTGTATTGTACATGTGGAATGCTGTCACGGAGACGTGTGTAGACACATTGTCGCGCGTGACTGTCATTGTTACGCTGAGATGCCGGCGTTGTGTTACACTGGCACGTTGTCAGGCGGTCGTGCTTGCATATTGTCATACTGGCACGGGTCACGCTAACATGCGAACACGTTGTTGCGTTGAGATGCGAACATTGGGTCATGCTTGAAAGCAGTAGTGCCACACGCCACTTGGAAATAACATTGCCAACTTTGCAAACTTATCAGCCGACGCCAAAAGCTGGCAGGACTAAATCAGCAAATTCATGCCCAGCTGGATATTTTTCTTGGGCTTATTCTTAATGCATAAGATCCGCGCTTTCGCATCAAGAGAAGGAGAAGTGACTCAACGATCTGCCAGAAGTTCCATGACAGAGGAGAGTATTTTCAGAAAACGTGTGCAGGCCCATTTCCGCACAAAGCCGTGTGGTGATTCAAAGCGTCTCAAAGGAGAAGCCAAAGGACACCAAGGAGGGGAGTTCTTTTCGTGAGTAGGTGAGTGGTTTGGATTCGATTCGTTGCCCACGATCTGCATATTTTCGCAGTTTTGACTTGCAAAGATATCAGGTATTGTGTTGTTTTTGTCTATATAAGACAAATCCTTTCCGGTAAGACACAAAATATGTACTTTGCCACTATGTCCAGAGGGTCTGGTTCTTCACCGCTTCTGAAAGTTCGATCGCCAGACTCGCGCCAGGAGCCGCCGCGAGAACTTGCGGAATCACACGTCTGGAACTCAAAAGCACGACGGTGCAGTCACCACCGGACTGGTCGTTTTGGTCGAACAATTCCAGCCTTTTCTTGTACGGCGATGCAGGGCGAGCACAGAGAGTTTTTGGGAGCAAATCCCCTCAACAGCCAAATCCGGGTGGGCAAGAATTCAGAGGATAGAGGGATCCTGTGGTACCTTGTCAGGTGATTGGAGACACTGTTGTGCAGGTTTGGAAGGTCCGAGTACCGTCTGAGAAAGTACGTACTTGGATTACTATAGGGACTGGTTTTGTTGAGCTGACTCGGTGCAATTTCGCGTGAGCCTCCGGCCGGGGTGCAACTCCCCGCCTCTATATACTGATAATAGGGATTCGAGGCCGGTTTCGCTGGTACGTCTCATTGTCCCGCGTGGGTTCCGACTCGAGGTCTCACTCGAGCCGCTCGGGCCCAGCGGGTCCGACCGTCTCGACCGCTTCGTGTGGTTCCGACCGTTGCTGAGGAGGAGCAGAACGAGTGGCTCCGGGTGGAGAACGAGCGTTTAAAGGCGGAGCTCTCAAAGGCGAGCCGGTGATGGCTTAAACCTCTGGCAGGGCTGGGCGGTTTAAATAGACGAAGTATACTTTTTCACCCTAAACCACGAGATGTTCGTTTGGAAAGAAAGCTGTGAGAAGATGTGAGAAGTGGTTTTGATTTTAGATGAAAGAAGACATGCTCCACTTTCCTGTTGGACCGTTGCTTGATTTGTTCTTTAGGCCTCCTCGGAGGAGAAGAAGATGCTGATGGCCGAAAGGCTCGTTCTGCAAACCGAGAAGGATGCGCTGGAAAAGAGGTGCCGAAGGGTCCGCCTCCGTCCGAGCGCAGTTGGGCAGCTC